TTTTTTTTTCTGATGATTCCTTTCGACGTTATTATCATATTGGAACAATAAAAAGAAGGGGTCACCGGACTTGTTTTCATGCAATAGCTTTCGTGAGTTTAGCAATTTCCACGCGCGTTCTCGCGCATTTAAAAATCTGGATTCTATAAGATCGACATTTGCTCATGATCTGTTATAGCTACCGCTGACAATTGCGTGTGCTCGCGCGAGCGCCTACGATCTCATGTTTACAGGCGTTTACTGCTAAGAAAATCATTAAACAGCTGTCAAAGACAGCCTTTCGGGCTCACCTTAAAAATCCTACACACGACTTCTGGCTACATCATATCATTTTCCTTTAAGTTTCAAAGTCTTCTTCCACTTCAGATAGATTATCCCTCACTTGAGTTCTTCTTTTTCCGCCGTCGCAAGATTTCATATCGGTTGAATATTTCTTTTAAATGTGAAGTAAAGCAACCTTTACTTCTCCGAAAATCGTCTTTTTTATCGTTTCTATCACAGTGGCCGCTCAACACATCAAATACACCCTCTTAGGTGAACTTCTCTCAAAAGTAGAAAAAAATCCTCGCGCCGCCATCGTTGTTTTAAATTTTCGTCTTCAAATCTCGCGCTTCTTTCGCACGTTTCTCTCGCGCGTGACGCAAGAGTTATCTGTTCCCCGCGCGAGGAAACTAGTGCGAGCCACCTTAATTAAATTACATCCTATTAGAAATGCGAACGTTTGCAAAAATTAAAATTACAAATGTTATTAGAGTATAAAGTAAACTTGTTACTTTAGAGACTGGAAACTAATTTTCCAAATGCACCAATCAGCGCGCGCTATCGGCTGTTTTGGCTACCTCAATGACGTCGATAAATAACATTCGCTTGCTTGCTTTCTTTCGAGCGTAAATATCGAGAAATTGGCCCCTTTTTCTTTGAGACTAGCAAGTGATATCAGACTGATGGTATCGCTAACAAGCCTTGGGCTTAAGCTCAAATCGAGAGATTCGCCACCGGCAAAGGCAGATTCTGATGTTGTTTGCGAAGCGTTGATGATGGAGTTGGAGTGTCAAATCAAAGACATCGAGAGGATTAATCGAGAAGGGGAAAGGGAAAAGAAGAGAATGGCTAACATAGCGGACTATTCTTGGCTCATATCCACGCCGCAAAAGTCGTTTGAAATTCCTCAGATGGAGCGACTGGCCCTTGAGCAGTTAGCCTCAAAAGTTCGACCCGAGGACAGTGGGAACGTAATTTCTGAATTCAGAAGTATTATTGAAGGTATACCGCGAGACGTCAAAGAAATACCCCAAGTTATGCGGTGTATAATTGATAAGCATTTGTTAGAAACATCGCAAGATATCGAGGAGTCGACATTTCGATGGTTAACGCGTAGCATGTCGCAGCTAAGAACTTTATCGAACCACACATCAGGGAAAGTGTACCCAGTTACAGACGACCTTGAACTTCAAGAACGTCCAGAGCCAAGGCGAGTGAAAAGTATGTCTGACTTTCCCCGTTCGAGAGAACTAAATATGTCTGTATAACTGCTTACTTCGATGTTTCCATTGGTTGTGTTATATCGTTATTCTGTTACAGGTATCTCTGAATGTTAATCGTGATCCGTGAAATCGTGCCTATTTTTCGTGTAACTCAATTTTTCAAGGAAGTCTGATTAAGTATTGAGGTAGATTTATTTAAAGAAACATACCTCAAGATACTACAATGTCTTTTGCAAATATTTTGATATACGGCTGTTGACAGCAACAGCTACAATTCTTTAATTTATTTATCTTTCCTCTTCCATATTGACTCAAAGATTTTTATATTATTTAATAAGGTAATAGGAACGGCAATGTACATACGTTAAAAATTAATGTGATTGAAAAATTGCTTTTGCGGTCACCGTTGTAACAAAATTTTCAGTACAGGGCTACCTGCGCTTTGATATTATGGTTAAATATAATTTAATAGAGCCCTGTTTATGAATACTTTGTCGTTTCAAATACGTCACTATTTGTTGATTTGATTTTCTTCTGTAGAGTCTTGGTCATCTGATTTTTACAAATTTGGCAGTGAGAGTCATTATGTAGCTTTCTATTGATACAGCTCACTGTTTTAACCGTAACACCAGTGTGAAAATTTTCCATTTCCATTTCCTGTGTTGTTGATAAGCAGAATTGTTTGAACCATCGAGAATTTTGTCACTTGACAGTCATGTCCCTCAGTGTTTGTTTCAGGGCTGATACTTTATCAGGAAATATGGTACTCAGTTGTCAATCCTAATGGGCCTAAGGGTTAACTGGTTAGGAAGCAATTTTTAATTTGTATTGATATATTAGTTTTGCATACAAACAGAAATGCAACAAAAATCCATACACGGGTGTATTTATCATTTACATTGCTGATATTTATAGATCTGTTTGTAACAAATAACCACTTTAAAAGATATATTTATTGGGTACAAGGATGGCTTAATGTTTTGTCTTGGGGGAGGTGAACTGCCATTAAATTGCAGTCAAACCTAGTTGTAATTGTTTATTTATTGTTAATAGAATTTTATGTGAGGTCCATTTTATCTAGGTTTCAAGTCAATATAATATGTCTTTCTTTGCTTTATGTTCTTTATCTTAATCCAAAACAGAGGAAATGAAAAAAGAGGGTTTGACAGATGTTAAACCAAGGAAGAATACAAACTAGAACATTTAATTTACAGAATTACTTTTCTCTGACCACCAATGAATGTTCTTATTGTTACTGATCAAACTTATACATTTAATCTGTGGAACCTCAAAGAACTGCTTCATGTAGTTATGATGGCAAAAGAGGAACATGGTATGTTTAATTTTACTTTGTTTTCATTTGTTTTCATAGCCATGCATACATGTGACTGTCTGAATGTCTGAAATAATTTATCACTTTGTTTGAATATAGTTGCAGTGCATTGTTCTTTTCTTCAACTGGGGAGAAAGGGGAGGGTAATTGATAATGTGTTGTCCTCTTTTATATTTTAGAGGAGCAGCATAGCAGTTTGCACATCTTGCCAAGCCCGCATTTCTCAAGCTTGTCAGTTCCAATCCTTGTTAATCTTCCCACATCATTGCTTTCTACTGGTGTATTCAAACATCATGGGCACCCACCAACAAATTAGCAAGCTATATCTTTAATTTAACTTCACAGTATCATTCTTATAACTTTATATACTGTGACACAGCTCCTTCAAAATGTTATCTTGTTACTTTAATTTTGGTCTGAAACTTTATCAACTGAAAGTGAAATCGTGTTCTTGAAGTGATATATGTTTATGGTTTCATTATACATTGATTGAGAGTAACAAGGAATACACTCCTCTTCTGAACTGGCCAAACCTTCGTCCCCTTAGACAAAGTTGTGATGTATATATACAGTTGAACCTGAGTTGAGCTGCACCCCTATTTAGTGATCACCTTTATTTAGCAGTCGCTGTCTCCCCAGTCCCAAAGTCTTCCCTCACTGAACAGTCACTGAGAGCAGGACCATTCAAAGAAAAGTAACAATAATCCTTCAAGTAATTTTAAATCCATATTTCTCTCCCTAAATCAAAGTAAGTAGTATTTTCAAGCAAGAATCTGTACATTACCGTAAGTTGTCAAGTATGGCATAAAGTTTGTGCCGTTTGTCATTTTTTATAATATCTGTAATCTGTGGAACCTGTATTAAGCGGTCACCTTGTTATTTCCTTGTGTGATTGCTTAATACAGGTTCGACAGTAGTTGAATAGCTCACAGGCACTGAAAATGATCATAACAGTTCCCATCAACAGGTACCAGTACCAAGAATTTTCATCCTTTGGATTAACAACTGTACTGTATTCTTATCAACAGATTTGTGTATTATTTAACACTCTTCATACTAGTCTTGTTATGGATTTGCATATACCTTAACTCAAAGAAGGGTAATACCTCCTTTATGTAGGCCTAATGAGGAACTTTGAAACAAAAATAATTATGATGAAAAGTAATTTTGCAGAAATGATGTCATCATTATAATTCTTACTCCTTTTTACTTTTTTTTTGGAATTTCAGCAATCTGCAAGACAAAAACAGCATGGAATCTTTGACATCAATTGTGATTGTTTAGACTTTTTTTCTTACTGGGGTGTAAAATCCTTAGGCCCTAAAAGTATAACATGTTTAGTGTCTGTGAAAATAAAAAAAAAAACATCAGTACTGAAAGATTAATTGGAGATTTACATTGCCTAAAGCTATCCTGCCCACAGCAACTTTTAAATGAAAGTGTATGCAGGATTACATTGATTTTACCTGACATTGCTCTGTGCTTGGTCTAGAAAGCTAGCCTAAAAACTAATGAGGATATGAGTAAAAAACAATAGTACACTGGTCATTCATATTATTTTTGTCAAAGGCACTCTACGTTTAACTACTTTGAGCTCATTGGCTGCCTGCAAGTACATTTTCATTCTTGTTTGTTTGATTTGGTTATGCATGTTAGCTAGATGGGAATCACGATAGGTCTTGTAGAAAAAAACAGCTTCTTTTCATAGACATCTTCACTTGCCTTCACTTGCTGGCTTACTTTTGTGGTAATTGCCAAAAAGGAAATAGAATTAATAGCAATACAGGTTTCCCTCAAATGAATTGAGCTGAGAGTCCAAGATCAGCTTCGTTATCTTCATTAAGGTTCATTTGATCAATAAGTTTCAATTTAATGTAGTTATGCCAACAGAAACGATTTTGGGATGCAGCACTTCTTGTATCGGAAATACCATGGTCCTCAAAACCAGCTACTAACTTCTTCCAACCACACTTTTCTGTTATGCTATGCCAAAGAATTGAAATTTTCCATCTTATTTTTGTCCTATTATAATTTTTTTTGTTTGTGTTTACTCAATGCATATCGAATTGATTTAGTTTCCCATAGTCATCTCTAGGGCCCATAATTCTGTGCTGTTTGCCTTTGCAGTGTAAAGAACCCACCATGAAAATACTTGTGTAAAAACCAAAGAGGGGTTTACTACTTAAGAGAAACATACTTGAAAAATTGCTGCTAAACGTTTTCAGATGGAAAAGAATTGGCGCAGCTCCTTTAATCTAGGCATGTTTCCATCAACTTTTTAATTGGGATGAAGCATATAACTAGATGTGGGAGGATTAAAAGAGATAAAGATTTGTAGTTTAACCCTCCAGAGCACATGAGGGAGGGAATAATCCAATTTTTGATTTTTTTTTTTTTTTTTTCAGATCTCGGCTGTTATTTATGACAAATGTGCGAAAATAGCTGTTTTAGCAATACAAAGAGTTTGGAATGCATAAGTCCGTTTTAGAGACCAAAAACCTGCATGATCTCCATCTCAACTTTGTATATAACAACAAACTTCACCCACATCGAAAACAATTAAGGACTCAGTCCCCTCCCCACCTCCCCAGCCCCTCCTCTTACAGTAACGGGATTGAGCTGTTCTACGCGCGTCTGATGATGACGAAGATCTTAACAAAAATTCACATAATAATTTGGATATATCAACAAAGTTGAAGTGGTAAATTGGCCACCGTAATGATTACAAAAGCTGACGTTTCGAGCGTTAGCCCTTCGTCGGAGCGAAGGGCTAACACTCGAAACGTCAGCTTTTGTAATCATTACGGTGGCCATTTTACCATTTCAACTTTGTTGATATATCCAAATTATTTCGTTACTCCCACCGACGCAGCCCCAAACAGTTTCTTTCGAAACTATCAGCCTTTATTAAAAATTCACATAGTCAGGATCTCACAATAATTTCGCTTTAAAAGTCGGTTAGTGACGTAAGTGAGTAATTCAAGGCTTGCGTTCTAATACAGCTGTTTATTGTCCTTGTACACAAAACACTCTGGTTATATAGATACTCCCTGACAAATACACATTTACGTATATAAGAACGATCCTTCGCAGTAAAGCACTATTTGAGCAATAGTGAAAATCAGACCTGAAAAAAATTTCAGGCCTGTACGGGATTCGAACCACTGACCTCTGCGATACTAGTGTTGTTGTTCGATTTATCATCTACGGGTTTATATCGAATTAATTTGATGGCCTGCTCCCAGTTGGCTTGTTAGCTCAATTGGTAGAGCGCTGCACTAGTATCGCAGAGGTCAGTGGTTCGAATCCCGTACAGGCCTGAAATTTTTTTCAGGTCTGATTTTCACTATTGCTCAAATAGTGCTTTACTGCGAAGGATCGTTCTTATATACGTCTCATAACCGCAGTTCACTCATATGTTTCATATGTTTGTTGTTGTTAAATACACATTTGTTATCCATGGTAAGATTGGAACTTTTACAGCTATCTTAACCAAACGAGAGGGAACATAATGATGTTCCCGGCTGTAAGCATATTTTCTGATGCAATCAAAACATCTACAGAAAAAAATTTCCTCAAAAAAATGTCATCTTTAAAGGAGTACTCAGTATTTCTACCTAGTATTACTATGCTTGTTTACTTTTTTTAGGACAGTTTTGTTTGTCATCCATCGTGTCGGTTTTTCTTCTGACTTTATCATAAGGCAAATGACTATGAAAGAATTCAAGCTGACAAAACGGTGGGTTTTCCTCTTTCATGCTCAAGTTTAATTATTTATCTAGTTTACCTTACTTTTGAATCAATTTGGAGCCGTACGAGTACATAAATCATCTCAATGCTATAGCGAAAACAAATGTGGTCTTCTAAACTCCAACCAATCTCGTAAAGAGCCATCAGCCACCGGTGGACAAGTATTAGTTGATGCAAATTATCCTGTGACGTCATAAGCTTTACCCTTCCAATCATTGACAACCTAAGGTACCTTAATAGTTGATATGTTTTGGATTTTCGATCGTGGACAGTGTTACTGCATATCCTGCTGGCTGCATAATGACTCAAAAAAAAAAAAATACTTGCTTCGATCACGTGTAGAACTGATTTAGAAATTAACAGAATAACGATCTTACCACTACAGTCTTGGAATGGAAACAAAAAATAGAATCCCGCCTTTCCAATCTAAGGTACTTTGACTTTAAGTTTTAATGAAATCCGAAAAAAGGATTACTTTAAAAAACACCCGGAAAGTCTAACTCTTATAAGAGCCCTTTTCGATTGAGTGTCGTAAAACCAAACCAACTGAATAAGTACAAAGGCCAATCAGAAGAAATGAAAATACCTTCAAGAGCCAATGAAAACTCAAAGTAGAAACAAGTAACCCTCCTAAAGCGCAGAAAAACGTGGGTGACCAAATCGTGATCGATGTAGGTTATACATCCGGGTGGTTGAGGGAGTGGCGGAGTTTTCTGGACTAACAACAGAGCAAAGTAAAGCAAAACTAAAGCATTCCAGTATTATTTTCGACACTCAATTGAAAAGTGCTCTAAAACTAAACAGCTCACACCACTCAGACCTCCTTGCGAAGTGTAACATGATCAGAAACATCTATTTATCATATTTTTCCTCAAACTGAAGGCAGACCATCGGCCAAAACTGTACAAGTTGCGTCGAGTACCCCAATTGCATTTAAACCTCCACCAGTGCCACCGACAAGATCTCCATTGGTAGAAGACACCGGCCTCCAGTTCAAGGATCCTAAAGTCAGCTGAAACATCCAGGCAGGTATCCCTATAAGAAGGACGATTTGCATTATACGACACAGTGACTGGGAGACTTCCGCGTATCAAGTGCCCGTCTCCATACACCCCAGCCCTTATGATGGCTACTGCTACAGATCCTTGCAAAGTGGCAGTTACTGATGCAGAAGGCGTTACCTGAAATGACAGTTTGTAAACTAGTAAGAGCTTATTTTTTATCAACTCATTTATCTATTTGTATGATTTCATTAACTCTTTTATTCATTACCCGTCTCATACATCATCCTGGTTATTGTCAAAAATTCGGACTAAAAGCAGAATAAACATGGCCTCAATGAACGATCTGCACTAAAAAAAAGAAAATCGTTTGATATTAGAATAAAAAAATTCTTATTCCATGGTTAAACGAACAATACGCTCAGATATTTCTATCATTTGTTTACACTATATGTTAACCATCGATTCAGATATATCTACCCACCGTTAAGCTCAATCGGGAAGTTGAGCGTGGGCCTGGGTCCACTGAGACACTAGCAGGTGTCGTAAGAAGAAAATCCACATCGAGAGTGACGACCCAGAGTATCGGAATACTGTAACTCTGAAGAAAAAGAAACAAAACAGTAAATAGCACCACATGTATATAAAATTTTTCAAACAATGAGATTACTGATTACTTGGGCCTTTTCCAGAAAGGTCTAAGTTTAAAATTCGGTCGCAATCGTCGTCTACCTTCCAAAAAGGCACATCCGGGATTTCTGCACAGGCGCTGCTTATCAGGCCCAGACCGGCGGTTGCACCGACAATCTAAAGAAAAGTTCTTTAACCGGAATTGTGGTTACTAGTTGTGCTAACAGGTAAAACCCAAATTCGTTATGCTTTTGTTTCTGGAAACTTAAAATCATTTCACCCTGACATGTGGCGTTTCATAGGACAATATGAATATTTATCAAAATTTGCGTGTCAGTTACTTTTAAACGTTTGTGTTGTAACGCGACGATCTTTGTTCTACATAGTTTTCTCCTGATCCCAATTGAAAGCGAATTGTTCAGTCTTTCATCTCGAAATGATATCTAGCGAATGCAAGGTCTCACTTCATGATATGGCTCCGAGAGCTTCCAAAAAGTCACTCGTTACTCGTTTTCCTTGCTAGTCCGTTACTCGTTACTGCGTTTAGTAACATCCTATCATAGAGGGAAGCCCAAGTTAAGGGCACTGCGACCTCTCAGTGTCTAAAGTTGAATCCAATTTTTTAATCTATGCCGTGGCATAAATAACAGATACATTCCATGTTGCCGTTAATTAGCTCCCTATGAAAACTTGCCAAAGTAACCTCAATATTTTAAATTCAAGCACTTACAACATCGATGTTCCATCCGTTTATCTCCTTTGTTTCTTTCTTAGTGGTGTCAATGGACTTTCGGAGAAGTCGTCTTGTTACTCTAGCTCCCAGTTGTAGGGTTAAATCCACCCTAATCTTGTCAAGCTTCAGATTGTATAACTTTTTAATTGATTCAATACGAACAGTGGTTTTCACTTGTACATCTACGCCAATAACTTTTTTCTTAAAGAGTGTGAACGTTGTCTGTTGAGGAGCAGTAAGGATTTTTTGAAAATAGCCTCTGCGACTTCGGTGTCTCGAGTCGTGCGATGCTGATGTCAGGTTTGTTTCTCGCTCATCTTCGCCAGCGGGCGTGGTGTACAATGCGGTTAAATCAGCCGAAGGCTCGTTCAAAGCCTCTCTCTCGGAGGTTTTAACCCTAAATTTTTGCTCAGATTTTGGTGCAACGAGTTTGATGAAATCACGGACAACAACATCTGCTAGTTCCTCGTCCTCAAGATAGCTTGTCCGAGATTTCTCATCATTAAGAAGAGTAACCTTACTCGTGAAAGAAACGTCCATACTTTTGGCTGGGGATCCTTTCTTAAACTGAACTGGCTCTCCGAAATTAAGTTTTTCAGTCAAGTGGACCACACCTTTTGTTACCACGCCGTTGCTCTTATTAAGAACTGACGAGTCAGCATATGACATGTCCAAGTCAATGTCAGATGTCATATTTGTAATATCTGATCGATTAAATTTGTTTTTAATCAAAAGTTCGTCATTTTCCGATGTGTTTGCTTCTCTGTGCATCTTGACGATACCGGGAAACATGGAAGACTTTTCAGGTTTTGGCTCAGAATTTGGAGTTGGTTTCTTTCCATCTACAAGTTCGTAAAGGTTGCGCTCAACGGTTGGGAGAAGCTGAGTAAGTATGGCTCGGGCATATCGAGTTAACTTTGCGTCATACTTTTGGTTTCCGTATAATTCAAAGGACTCGTGTGCTTTGGTGGATTTTGACGTTTTGTTTAACTCAGACCTATTGAAAAAAATAGTCAAATCCAGTGAAAGTATCTCAATATTAGCATGACACTGTATTGAAGAAGCGATATTTTTAGTTCATAATCAGTTTTCAGACGAACCAAAAGGCTGTGGAATATGGAGAAGAGCAGAAAAAAGAGTAGGAGGAAGGGAGGTGGGAGTGGGGAACTTAGAAAAGGGTATAGCTACACTTACCCTGCTAACCTCAGACGACTTAGATGCCAACTGTCGGTAGAAATGAGAAACCGAAAGGAGTTCTTGTGAAATGGTGTAGCGATCTTCCTCGGGTCACGTAACCAATTTTTTCTAAGTTTTCTCCTTCAGCAGCAATGCTGATGATCTTAAAAACGAACCAATACTCTTCTGAAGTCTTGTTTATTACTTGAAGTGCAACTATGGTACTCAGAGTCCCTGCGGAAAAATAATTAATTTTGCTATAACAGAACATTGAAATCTCAGTAGACTTACTTAAAACAAAGTAATTTGGCCGGAAAAAATCCTTGTCGAGCTTAATTCGAGCCTGATTGCCTGATTTCCTGAGGTAGGAAGCAAGACATCAAGCTTGGCGAATATGCAACTTTATACCACAACAACAAGTTTATTCTTCGAAGGATGCTGATCTTGCATTATTAAAATCTGCGAGAGAAAGGCAGATTAAAAACCTCCAGGTTAATTGACATTTTGAACGTAACACGCTGTAGGAATGTCTTTGGTAACTTAGGTTTATTACGTAGATTTGGCCTTATTGGGAAAATTACAATACTTAAGTGCTTTGTTTCCTCTCAAGTAATCAACCTCCGGTCACAAATCCTACCCCAAAATTATTAGACTAAGTATCGATCTCTTTTATTCAGCCAGTAGTTTCAGTCATAGTTAAGGAGATAAATTAAAGAGAAGTGTTATGATTCAAAACTTTACTTAAAAATTAATTTCATCGCATCCTTAAACAAAGCACTAATATCTGTCTTGTTAAAAAGAAAAACTTTTCTTGGATTACGAGGTACAAAATCGGAGGTTCTATTTTTCGTGGTGAGAGTCTTGATTTAAAAGACACCAAACTGAAGACTATGCCAAATTTGCAGCCCAGCTATAAAAGAACACGTCCAGATATCAGATGACGAGAACTGAACTTTCCCAAGCTCAATGCGAATTATGAATGCCTTTCTAAACATCTATGGTACAACTCTTTGATAAGAGTCAGGAATTAAACGATTTATTTTGAGAACTAGCATAAAATAAGAACATTACAGATGGGATGCGAATCATTAAGTTAAAGGGAACCAGGGGTCTTAGCTTTGTGTCGCCACCAAAACTAGATAATTAACAATTATTCCACTCGCGCTTGTTGGATATGAGATGATAGATAGCCAACGAGGCGCTACGCGCCTCGTTGGCTATAATCATCTCATATCCAACAAGCGCGAGTGGAATAATTGTTTTATTAAACCCCGCCCCCCCAAGAAATTATTATTTTGTAAGGAGGAAACCGGATTTTTTAGCTCCCTTTTGATTCTAAGCTGACGCGTACGCTTACCATATTTGTAGATTATGATATATTGGCTCATATACCATAATGGCTAAGCCAATAAAAAGTCTTGAATTGCATTATCCAATGATCCAGTTTTTAATAATAGATATTAGACTAAACTGTGAATCAACCTACAATGGAATAATTAACAACTATTCCTTGAAGTGGAGGTGGCTATTGATAGATATTTACGTGCCTTTCTATTCTTCAAAAAGCCTCATGGGTTGACATACCAAAAACTAGAAGGAGAAAAGCTACCTTCCCAAATCTCAATTAAAAAGAAAAGGACGATTATTTTTAAAGAAACTCTGAAGCTAGATTGGGCAGCGTCACGAATGATCAACGGAACTGATGACGAAACTGCTGGTGCTGAACATATTAGATTTCTGACTGAAGTAACCTGTCGTCTCTATGACAGTATCAACAAGACTTATACAGGTAGTTCGACCATAAAATGTATTCACCACACAGACAAACTGTATTACTATGCAAAAAAGCTGCTAAAAGTCCAATGAATACAGGCTGAGAGTTTCTAAAGAAACTGTGGTGCTGCGTCGGTGGGGTAACAAGGTAATTTGGTTATATCAACTAAGTTGAAATTGTAAATTGGCCACCGTAATGAATAAAAAAGCTGACGTTTCGAGCGTTAGCCCTTCGTCATTTGCTCTGATGAAGGGCTAACGCTCGAAACGTAAGCTTTTTTATTCGTTACGGTAGCCAGTTTACAATTTCAACTTAGTTGATATCCTAAAAAGTCTACTACGTTAACCCAACAGAGGAGAGAGTAAATAGGTAAGTAAAATGCCAAAGTGAATTCAGAGTTCGCCTGATTATATTGTCTAGATATGCTGGGTTTAGCGTTCTAACGATGAGTTGAATGAAAACACTTTATTGAGACCAAAAAATCCAAACAAAAACTATTTCCAGCAAATTGTACTGAACGAACGTCTGCAAATATATCATGCTATTTCAAAAGACAAATCAACGTGATTAGCCGCGGAAAATCAAATCCATCGCCTCGAGGGTGAAGTAAAGCACGCACGGAAAAGGGACATAAAATCGCAAGACTATTTAAAACCTGTATTCTATATCTTTGCACGGCTCGACTGATATTTGTGTAAATTCGAATTCTTTATCTGAGATCTGATTTATATCCGACACGGTTCGATTATTTTAGATCAGCTTTGACAGTTTCCACTTTAATTGCTGGGTAATGTTCTACCATGGTTAATCATGATAGAGCTAACGAACTATGGCTCTACGAATGCATTTTCACTGATCTTATTTTGAAAACTCCAGAATGTTTCACAAACCTAACAAAATGCATACTTGCCTAATCTCAACTCAAACATAAAATTGCTTTTCGAAAAAATTGGACTGTGCGAACAAAAAGGTAATCTTAAAATAAGAAATTCGTACCTTTCACTTAGCGATGAAGGGCAGCTCAAGAGAGCGTCTAATGTTTAATTAGTAGCGAGATCAAATACCTTTCTGAAGCTCTCCACTCCGTACTTCAAGGACTTGTTCGACTTGATACAGTAAAGTTTCACCTGGCTCCAAATTGACTTCCACTAAGCGCTCAGTACAGGACTCTTTCCGAGTCAACAAAAATACTGTCAGGATGGCTCCACAAACCACGAGAGATACAACTGCAAAGATGGCAGTGGTCCGCAAGATGGTCCATTTTCTTGAAGCCGGTTTCTCTCCTTCAGAACCATCTTGAACATAATCGTTGACTAGAGTTACCTTATCCTTGGGGTGTTCCTTTTTCTCTGGAAAGTCATCCATGATCGAGGTTGAAGCTGAACGACTAACTTTGTCCTTTCTGAAGGTATTGAAGCGCTATTTGAATTTTTCGTGTTCATCCGCGATGGCTTAACCTTTTGTTTTCTCTCAGTGACGGACAAGGCAATCATGAATATTTTTAGCCGCAGCGCTGCCGGGAGATCTCTTTGCTTCCCCTCTCCTGAATGGTGCTGACGCGAAGAGAGCAAACACGACGTTGATATTGTTGATCAGCGAGCACGGAAGCAAATGCACGTGAAGTTACATTACCGGGAGAACAGAGTTAGTCTGTATTATGGGCGGTCGTCACCACCAAAAATACAAGGATGTCAAATAGATCAGCCTGGCCGGTAAATACAAAGATGGTTTAAGGATCCGCTGCAGGAGGATAGCGTAGCTAATAAAGGAATGGCATGGCTAAATTATAGACAGTCTAGTGTTCCTTCATGAAACAGAACACCCTAAACATAAATAGTTTAGCCAAATGATAAACTGTCTAGTTTCCCATGTCGAGTTGGAACATGAAATTGTGAAATGGACCAGCTAAATTGCGAATATATCTAGCGCTCATTTGCAATAAAGTACACAAACAGTGTAGCGTTGCTTCAAATGACTAAGGGTAATACGGAGAAGCACAGCGTTCGCACAAACGGTGTAGCTTTGGGTGAAATGGCTCAGCATAATGTCGAATGGTACAGCGTACATACAAACCATGTAGCTTTGCGTGAAAAGGTTCAGCGTAATGTGGAATGGTACAGTGTACACACAAATGGTGTAGCGTTGTGCGAAATGGCTCAGCGTAATGTCAAATGGTACGGCGTAATGTCAAATGGTACAGCGTACATACAAACAGCGGACATAGTGTAGTCGCTGTGTTGAAGAGCCTCTACTTCGCCTTGCCGTAAAGTAGAGCCAATTCGGTAAGTTTCTCCTCTTTTTTTCCCCAGCCGATGTTGCTTTTATTTGTTTTCCTTCATGAAAGCTTCCATTAAAATAGCAACAAGACTGGATTCTACCACGGTTTGCCGGCCTCCTGGTTTCCCACAGTTTGCACGCGTTGGTGTGCCTGAATGTTTATAGTGTTAAGTAGTGTTATGACGTGCGAGAAATGTCGAATGTCGAGCTCTCTTTTCTTTTCTGACTTGCGCTTACTTTTCTATAAGAGTTTGACTGCAGAGGCTCTTTGAACATTTCAAAAATACGTGAGATGTTGGATTTTGTGTGCACCATCTTGGACGCTATGGTAAGAAAACCGATAGCCTTGATTTGTTTTGACACTTTTCAATCAAAGTGATATCGGAATGCTTTAATTGCTGTTCCGTACGATTAGAGTATTGAGCTAAGGGAAGACTGCATCCATTTATAATTTTAAAGAGGTGTACATTATATTACTTTGTTTATTAATTTTTTCCTGGGTCCAGTGATAGGTAAAGTACATTCTATTTTTATTTTCTCGATCAGGCTCTCTAAACATTGCAAAAGTACGTTAGAAGTTGGATTTTTTGTCGAAAGGCACAAAGAAAAAGGAACTTGTCCAGAATCCCGAAAATATAGGGCGAGGGCCAACATAAGAGTGGACGAGGATTTTAAAAAAGACATAAAGCAAATCCGTAACAACGCGGAGCAAGAAACATTAAAGTCGATCATATGCTTCCATGAACGTGAAATCGGACGTTTAAAGACCGAAATACAGAAAAGAAAACGAGCCAAAACGGCTACAACACTGAACACTAAGAACTGTAGTACGATCGAATCAGCGCGCGTGGCGCAAGCTGAAAGTAATCAAGACAATGTAACGATCGAGAGAGTAAAAAAAATAGCTGTTAATCTCCAGGAACAAATCGCTCAGTTTGGCAGTATGATGAAAAGACTAGGAACAATGGAGAATAAAGAATTTGAAAAGTACACATTTGTATTCTCTGACTCCCAATACAAACATGGGGCCAAAAAACCAATTTAAAAAGCCAAGCGGCTAGCAACTAACAAGCGCAGGGAGCGCAGAAAAGTAAGACACCAAACACGTTCAGCTATCAAAATAGAGGCGAACAAAACGCACATAAAAAAACCTCTCAAATAAAGAATTTGCAAACTGCCAGATTAATTCACTGGAAAAAGGGCTTAAATTCATTCCAACACCCGCTACAAAACAAAAACAGATCAGACAACAACTATTGCGGGACTTTGATCAGTTCGCAAGGAGAATGCGTCTGATTTACATAGGGGAGGACAAAAAAACCCGTCCCTGCCACGTCAAATGTACATGGAAACCACCATTACAAAAATCCGTAGCCCTTGAAAGCTATTTAGAAGAGGTTAAAAGTGACCTTTCAGAAATAGAAATTACAAAGCCAAAAGATAATTTGCTTACGGCCGAACGCAAGGCGCTGAGGGCCTTCAAACGTGACTCTGAGTTAAACCTCAAAAAGGCCGACAAAGGAACAACAACCGTAGTCATGAACTAACTAAACACGACAAAATTTTAAAAGGCCGATCTCTACTAGATAATAGAGATAACTACAGGCCTCTTGCATCACCCATGGTCAAAGAGACTGACCATAAGGTCAGACAACTTATAGCAGACCTCTACAACGGTAATCCTATTTACGACATGACTAAAAAGTGGCTTTGTCAAACCCCAAATCCGCCTCGAATTCCAGAATTCTACACGAATGTCTACAAAACGAAGACCGAAGA